GTAAATTAATGCCGTAGCTAAAGCCATCAGTTAGACATGGGTCTCGCCCAAGTGTGAAAGTTTTATCGTAACCGCCATAACTGACTGAGAGACTGACAATCTTAGTATTCACCAGACACTTTTCCTACACAGTTTTCGAAATGAGTGATTTAATTTGTACACGCCGTATCAAGAAATATATGATACAATTTATAAAGAAAAAAGCTGATTTTAAAAACATATATTTTTAAAGTACCACAAATATTTTCTATATAGAAAATATTATTCAATAAATGTTTAATATTCTGTGTAATGTTATGTTAGTCATACGATATTTTATAAAGTGATCATGTAATATATTACAATCGTACGTATATTTAGATTATTATTGTCCCTATTGTACAATCCCAATTTATTTTTTGCACGAGCTAATATCAGGCAGCGGCTTGCTCCTGCAGTTGTTCTTCCAGCCGTACCAGGCGTCGAAGCCGTGCCGCTGATAGATCTTCTTGGCACAAGCAGCCGACTTTGATATATTATCGGAGAGCAATTCTGAAAAATCATTTAAAACTTTATTAACATTTAAGAGAATCTTGCAATGTCAGTATGAGTAAGTTTTTCCATTCGGATAATTGTTTCCATATTCCAATTTTACTTGGGTTTTAGTTTCAGTTTTACTTAGGTAATTTTACTAGATAGAAGGGGTAAAATCTCCGACCTCTTATTGTTTTATATGAAAAATACCAAAAAATTCCACCCTCTATTTACAGAGTGAAAGAGCATAAAATACATAAATTTGCAATAATTCGTTATCTAAAACTTGATACTATGTATTTCACTCATAAATTTGTATCTCATGGAATCAAAACAAGAAGTTATAATGGTGTCATTACAAGAGACAGAGTGAAATCACAAAAGGTTTTTTTATGACAGAGTAACCCTAATATCCAAGAGTTAACCCCTTTTTTTCAGTTAATAGTAAAGAAGAAAGGACCTGGAAATACTCTGTCGTATGTATCTGTACATCATTGCCAGTCTATTAAATCCACCACAGTTAAAAATAATACAGAGTTTTAAGAAAGATAACAATTAATTCTTCCCATAGTTCTGTTATGGAAGTGTGAGTATTCATCGAGATAATGACTTGGTGATAATTTTCAGGAAATATCTTTAAGGAATATACGCACGTTTACAGGTGACGTTGCAGTCCTTGCCAGGCTGGCTAGTGCTGCTGCACCAATATCTGTCGTTGATCTGGAACAGTCCGTAGTCCCGGGAGCCGTCACCGTTCGGCCTGCTGACGATGTCAGTGCGACGAGAACTTTCCTTCTCCACTAGACACACCCCTAGTAATCAAAGCAATTTGTAAATCCACAATAATTTCTAAAGCAACGCCCTATTTTGATGTTACGCAAAAAAAAACGGATTTCATATAATTACCATAAACTTATAGCTGAAAGGGTTATGGTATAAGTTAAAATTTGCCACGCATCCTTAATTTATGATCACACAGATAGATCTATATATATAGCAGTGCGCAATCGTAAGTATTCTTACGAAGTAAGGGTGACAATATGCTGCATAGCATTACCACGTTAATCTCTTTTACATAGTTTGTTTTATTAACCAAAAGCAAATGAGTGAACATTTACAGTTACATTGTTATCAAATATTTTTTTTACTTCTTGAACCTTGCAAAAACAGTACAGCGATAACTTACAAATGCGGTATTTATGTTAGGGCTGAATCTGAATAACAGGGTAAGAAATTGTGTAATAATAGAAGAGTGTGGTTTGCAAGATGATGTTGTGACCAGGATTAAGAAAGGAATGCTTCGGTGGTTTGGTCATGTGGAAAGAATGAATGAGGAAAGAGTGACAAAGAAAATTTATGGTGCAGAAGTGAATGGCAGAGTCGGAAAGGGACGTCCTAGGCGAAAATTTATCGACCAAATTGGCGATTTATTGAAAACGGGCCAAATTAGGAGTACCCTTAACCGACGAGCATGTATGCGTAGGTGTATGGATGTGAAGGAGGCAAGAGAGGTGTGTCAGGATCGTGCCAAATGGAATGTAGTCTCCCCCTCTTACTAGTGTATTATTATGTATGTATGCGGTATTTACATACTGGTTCTTTTGTGATATTTAATGCACCGCCATATTAGTGTCAGTGTCGCACAAAATTTGTTGACTTGTTACTTACAAGGGATAAATTATCGAAGGTACTAGATTTCTTCTTCACTTGGATATTTAATTAGAGAGTTAGATATAGGTTAATACAATTGTAGTACTAAGCACATCTCAATAAAGTCTACTTACAGTCTCTCATTTTGTTCTCCGGGAAGCCATTTCTTCTTAATTCGCGCACCAGCTCACATCTCGACAACTGTTTGGCTTCACAATGAAGGAACAACCCTAGAGCACATAGAAGTAAAGCCCACTTCATATTGTTGTTTTTTGTAATACTGCAAGACTTCAGAAGAAACCGATCCGTTTCGTAGCCTGCTTGTGTATGATGTTTATAGCAATTAATTACGCTTAAATACTCTTACATCCCAGGTATGGTTTTAGGTGAAGGAACTTTGCTGATTGCGGTCGTTTAGTGTCTGGGAATCCCTTAATGTTATCAACCTAATAGGCTATGACTAATGAACTACAATGCAATAGAAAAATATTAATTACGAAAGTGGCTGACACAGAATATCTTTTCCTTAATGGCAAAATATTAACACATCTGAACTACAATCAATAGTTAATGATTTCTCATATTTACGTAAACACTACACATTTAAATAGAACTGGTTTTTACAGATTTTATCTCGTATATTAAATTATTTTATATACCCAACGTTTCGAGTACTTTACAGCACCCATGGTCACGAGAGGGACTGAGGTGTTCCCAATGTCATAGTTAACCACGGGTACCTCTAGATTAAAATTATTAATTTTTGTTCCCATGTGATGATGACTAAACTATTTATTAAACTTGAATTCTCAAGTATTTTTTTATTAATTCTAGTCGGTATATAGCTAAGCTTGATGTCATATTCTGTTACCTTAATTATAAATAAGTATGTGATTGAAGTATGTTATTTATAATTACAAATCACTTAGCATAATTACCATTTTCAAAATACTAATTATCGTTTTTATAAATCTTTTCACCGTTCGACGAAAATTTTCAGCTTTTGTTTCTTTAATCTGCACTAAAAACTTTATTTTAAACCCATAAGAAGTTAATTGGGAGCGAGATTTGAACTTAACTTTCGAACCCTGAATATGTCTATCTTCAAATATTCAGCCACTTATGAGTCCCTCTGATTAGGAACCATCCTCTTACTAATTTCTGACACCAAACTTCCAGGCTGAAGGATAAATATTAAAAGTCGGTGTAAATACAGGCTGTGATTCTTTCCTTCTTGGTCCTCTGAAGTGACAACGTATCTGTAGACTTCTTTATTTGAAGTTGTTTGCAGGTGTATAAGGGCTGGAGTCAGTATCTACTTACCATCAGGTGGACTATTAGTTTGTTTATGACCTCAATTTAAGAACCTGTCTCAAAATGCTTTTTTAAATTTTGAGAAGGCTTAAACAGCTATAATATGTAGATTAATTTTTATTTTTTATTTTATGTAGCTTAATACGTCATACTTATTGAGAGTATTATTTTAATTACCAGTTTAGTTTAGTTCAAAAATACCTTTGTTCTGTAAAGAACTAGCCAAAAAACCAACGCTATAATTTTTTAATGAAATATATATATATATATATATATATATATATATATATATATATATATATATATATATATATATATGTACATTAATAGTAACTATAGTATTATACAATCATATGAATTGTAATAGAACCATCGTGGTAACGATCATTTAATTCCTAGGGGTTATTTTTATTCATGTACTCCTGAAATTCATAATCACTTTATACAGTTTTTAATGAAAATTATTAAGTTATTTTTTTAAATATATTGGAAATTTTCTAGTATTTCATTGCAGTTTAATCGTTTGACACATTTATAGGGCAATGTAAACGACATTGCTCCACAAATGTGTTACTAATTTTGTAAACTTTTGTAACTGTTTTTGTTCACAGTATATAATTATAAAATATCTTTGTTCACATAAAAGATATTTATATATTGCAAGGCTAAAATTTATATATTTATTTCTTTACTCTTTTCTCTGAGAACCATCTACATTTAAGTTGTAAATTGCCTTTACAAACCGCCCTCATTTGCAAAACAAATATACTTTCAATATCTGTCACGTTTCTATAAAGCAAAGGTACATAAGATATTTTACTATGAAAACAACTCAATAACCCAATCTAGCTGTTTCAACATTTAAAGAGACGTCTAGTCTTTCTTATAGAATATGCTTTATAACTTAGTCTAGTTGCTTATTTAGATACTCAAGCCAAGTCAAAGTCAATATGTTGTATTAAAATTGAATTCTTCAAAACACTTTTTGAAATCTACGTCATCGCTCCTGCAAGTTATATTTGCGGCGAGACTTTTTAAGAATTTTTATAATATATTAGTTTAACTAAGAATTAAATATGTAATATTGCAATGCACAACAGGGTCCACCTAACAACATTTAAATGTTTTGTATAACGTAGCTAATGAAATATATTGAAGTATTGACAAATGGGTATCGAAAGTGATACAGATTAACCTTCTGATGATATTCCCGATATTCCCGACATATTTAATGTTCAGTCTGTTGTTTTTCTCTGGTTTGAGAATAAGTTTTCAACATTGTAATATGCATGTTAATTGCTCAGTTGTTGCAAATATATTCCCCCAAGTGATTCAGATTTTCTTTAGACCAACTTTGATCACATAAAAATCACAGAAACATATAATTAAAAGAACACATATTGTACTAACAAATGTTTAATATGATAGGTAATATCTGTTACATAAATTATATTTTACAGAGAACATATTGCAAATTATAATCATACAATATTGAGTATATTAACATTCTTGTAATACGATTCTTATTTATTTTTGCACGAGCTAATATCAGGCAGCGGCTTGCTCCTGCAGTTGTTCTTCCAGCCGTACCAGGCGTCGAAGCCGTGCCGCTGATAGATCTTCTTGGCACAAGCAGCCGACTTTGATATATTATCAGAGAGCAATTCTGAAAAATAACTCAAACCTGTTAATATTTAAAAATCTTGCAATGTCAATATGAGTATTTTTAAGATTTCTGCCATCCGAATCATTGTTATAGTGTTCATATCGAAATTCCTCTGAATTGTTTAGTCCATTTTAACTCCAATCTTTGGCTACATACCACTTACGTACTTAGTATAGGATAAAAGTCAAGAAACAGAAACACTCGTTCGAAAATAGATACACACACAATATGTCAAAATATATACTGCCCCAGTAAGTATCGAGACACAGGCAAGGTAAACATCCGTTATACTGATTATGTTATTTAATATAAATATATATTCAAGTTAATTTAATTTTTTGATACTTTGCAGAATGCAGAGTATCAAAAAAATTAAATCAACTTAGTTAAAATAAAGTGTGTTATTTCAAAATCTTAGTGTGGCCGACCTGAACTGACTTTAGTGAAATCTGAGGTCTCGAGAGTCATCATCATCATTATTATAGCCCTTCACAAGTACACTGCTGAACATAGACCTCCCCCGTGGAATGCCACAAAGCACGGCCCTGAGCCACCTGCATCCATCGACTTCCCGCATATCTTACCAGATCGTCATTCCAACTAGTGGGGGATCGCCCTAAACTTCGCCTACCGGTACGAGGCTGCCACTCAAGAATCTTTTTCTTCATCGTATGTCGGTTCTTCGAGCTATATGGTCGGTCCATTGCCACCTTTGCTTACTAATCCGTTTGACTATGTCAGCCACTCTAGCTCTACTGTGGATATCCTCATTTCTTAGTTTATCACGCAAAGAACCCCCGAGCGTAGCCTTTTCCATAGCTCACTGAGCGACCTTGAGCATCCGCATACGCATACGGTCTCGAGTGTACTCAGGTCGAATCTCAGTGAGGATCAAGACTCTAGAAGTTATGATACAGATACAGTGCCACGTCACGAGATAGAACTAGATATACACTCGTTTTAAAGGTATCTCGGTCTGGTATTCTGTACATCACTGCTGGTCTATTCCACCACAGGTGAAATTAATACTGAGATTTAAATGAAACACGTTCAATTCCTCCCTTAGATTGTTATGTCTGTGGATGTATTCAACGAGTTAATGACTTGTTGATAATTTTGAGAAATATCTTAAAAGAGTATACGCACGTTTACAGGTGACGTTGCAGTCCTTGCCAGGCTGGCTAGTGCTGCTGCACCAATATCTGTCGTTGATCTGGAACAGTCCGTAGTCCCGGGAGCCGTCGCTGTTCGGCCTGCTGACGATGTCAGTGCGACGAGAACTTTCATTCTCCACTAGACATACCCCTAGTAATCAAAGCAGTTTATAAATCCACAAATATTTCTGAAGAAACGCCCATTTCTAATAATGGGCGTTTCTTCAGATACGACTATGTTGTATGTTGTTTATGATATAGACAATAATCATAAACAAATACACTTTTCATAATAGGGCACAACTTTTCTCTTATATTTGAAAGGGGTATGGAACCAGAAATATCTCTGGCATGTTGATAATGTTTTCAAACACCACAGTGTTATTTATATACAGCGTTTAATATTTCGATTAACAAACGAAACTTGGGTTGCTCCCATATCAGTCTCAGTGCTACCACCGCTTAACTATAATTCTAATATATCTTACATAAGATATTAAAAGAATAAATAAAAGTGGCAGGCGAGCGTCTAGTCCAAATGTCGGTTAATAGATACCTACAGCCCAATATCACTTATATATTTTCGATTAGGAATCAAAATGCATTTGTCACCCCTAAGTGCTAATATGAAATGCCTCGTAAAGATAAAGAATGTGGTTTCCCATACTCATCATAATAAATACTCGGTTGAACTCGGGTTTTTAAATATAATACGTTGGTTTCTGTACATGTATTCATGCTACAGCCATAATAGAGCTGCAGTGTGGCTCTATCACGTAAACACCTTTAGATTGTTTTTATTAGCCAAAAACAAACGAGTAAACTCAATATATTATTATATTTTTTACATATTTTTTAATTTATATTAAACCTTACACAAAACAGGGTCACAAAACAGCAGAAAGCGGACTTATAGTCAAAAACATTCTTTGTTAAAAGGCCGATGACAACACGAAGGCGGTAATTACGTAATGATTCTTTTGTGGTAAGTTTATACACATTCGTGTCACACAAAACTATTGTTGAATTGTTACTTACAAGAGATAAGTTTATCAAAATCTAGATTTGTAATCAAACACTAAAATTTTTGATTAGATGAGTTACATATAGCCTCATAGAATTATAATACTAAACACAGCCCTTAAAAGTCTACTTACAATCTCGCATTTTGTTCTCCGGGAAGCCGTTTTTTCTTAATTCGCGCACCAGCTCACATCTCGATAACTGCTTGGCTTCACAATGAAGGAACAACCCTAGAGCACACAGAAATAAAGCCCACTTCATATTGATTATTTTAGAATGCTTCAAGATTAAGTCTTCAAGAAGAAGAAACTGATCTGTTTCGTATCCTGCTTGGGTACGCTGTCAATAGCAATTAATTACGCTTAAATACTCGTACATCCTAGGTGCGGTTTTAGGTAAAAAAACTCTAATCCCTTTATGCTATCTAACTGATAAACTACGAATAATGAAATACAATGCTAAAGAAAAATAATAATTACGAAAGTGGCCTGACACTTGAGAATATTTTTTTCCTTAATGATAACATATGCTCATCTTTAAATTATTATCCATAAACGTAATATGTAAAGGCTATATAAAGATATCTATTATCCCATATCGTTCCATGGGTGTCGTAAGAAGCGGCAATGGGAAACCGAAACTGAGATGGGCAGCAACGTCTTCCTGATAACACTTAAAATAATAAAAATAGCATGCCAAGCTTCGCTGCTATGACAATAACTGCTCTATCTAGTGATATATAGGGGAGGTTTTGTTCAGCAGTCGACTTTTATATATGTATGGAATGGAAAAAATTAAAATCAACAGTCGTTTTCAGCTCGCGATATATTAGATCCTTGCATATGAAATTTGCATTTTGTTGAACTGGCCATTTCGATATCTTGCGTTTGGTTAAGAATTCCAAATTCAAATTTAGGAATGTGTTTTTGTTATTAATTAAGGGATTGGAATATCTCCGACACCCACCATCCCCTCGGAACTTGCTACAACAGATTACCACTTTTTTCGGAATGGAATAGAATAGAACAATTGGATGGAATGGAATAGCAAAGAATAAAAAGGAATGGAATAGTATGTACTGGAATAGAATTGATTAGATTGGAATGGAATAAAATAAAATGGAGTAGAATAGAGTAGAGTAGAGCAGAGTGGGGTAGAAGTATGAAATGAATGGAATAGTTCATTTTATTCTTTTTTAATCTATTTAATTCCAGAATATTTTATCACATTAACATTCATTATATTCCATTCTGTTCCCTGCTATACCAGCATCAAATAGCAGTTTAATGCTGCTGTGTTACGTATGGTGAATGGAGAGAACTGGAGACCCTTTTAACTAGTAACGAGGCATTCCATCTTAGTCCTCAGGAATGACATCTGCATAAAAAAGCAGTTTGCATTGTCTTGAATATGTTTTTAATGTGTTTAGAGAACGGCGTGTCGAGTATACAAGATGTATACAAGAGAGCAAACAATTAATCTAATGGTACGAGGTTTAAGTTGTTTAGGCTGGTTGCTGGTGACAAGCAACTTTAAATAAAAAAGGCTACCACTACGTTTTCAATTCTGAAGATTAATTCTCTCACAGCATTGTATATTAAGTATTCTTGCTCTGGGTTCCTAGGTTTAGGTGTATGTTCATAACGATAAAAAAGAAGTCTGACGGACTTTTTACTTTACAATATTAGCCGCGGTTTCTGATAGATGCCCGAATAACATTTTTTAAGAAACTTTGCCCCCACACTAGGATTTACAAGTAAGCAAACTCGTTATTACTAAATATTTAAAAGAGAAAGCTGAGGAAGTGAAAAAATTACAAGAACTAAAAACATCTTCAACTTGTAAGTTGTCTCATCAATTACTTTTTTTTTATAAAACGTTAACTAGCATTTTCTCCTCGTGGAGCTTACATACATAAATTTTACACGGAAACACATCCAGAGCAATTATTTATAGGCCACACAAGTATTTGTATCGTGCGGGCACAATTGCGTATTTATGCCAGATGCAAATTTCCTGACTGGCAAAGTCTAGCAGCATTAAAATGCTAGACGATTGGGACTGAATCCGCCAGACAAGCGTGGCGTTTATTTAAGTACTTACTTATTATCATACTATTCCTCTCTATTATGTGAGGGTCAAAGAAGAAGAATAAAGAAAAGCAATAAATAATCAATGCTCATAGGTACATTTAAAAATATTTTATATATTTGCAAAGAAATAAAGTTATATTTTCATAATGTGCTTCAATTTTAACAACATAAAATAACTTCAAATACGTGATTAAATATGGCTCGTAGCACAACCGTTTTCAACATCACAAATATTGTACAACCGACTTCAATATAAATAAAATGAAAACATAATCAATGCAGTCGAAGTCATTTAAATACGCATAATTAAAGATAAATCATAAACTACGGGTTAGATCTTGATCAAATTTATATGAGACCTTGTGAAAAGATCCAGCTTTTAAATAAAAATATAATCATCAAAATCGATTCACCGAGAAAAAAGTTCTGAGGTAACACATAAAAAAATACAGTCGAATTGAGAACCTCGTTTTTGTAGACGGTTGAAAATTCGTTCGTCCCTAGACTCATATTATATAAAGCCACTGTCCTGTTTAATTTTGTAACATACAATTTTATCTTCCGTATTGATGAACAATGTTTATTAAGAGGCTACTTAATCTGATAACAATAAGGGATTCCCGCGCAAAGTTATGTTAACTATAGCGCAATCGTGATTATTTACAAACGACGATACAGAGTTTCAGTATTTAAACGCCTTTTAGTTTGACATCGACAGTATACAGTTAAAAGTCTTCTAACAGAAGAACTACTGCCACAGGCTCATAAACCTATAATTTTCTAACACAATATGAAAGTGTTAATAGTTCTCTTCGCTCTAGGAGTGCTGCTGCAGTGTCAAGCAAAGCAACTGTCAAGATGTGAGCTGGTGAGGGAACTAAGAAAACATGGCTTCCCGGAGAACAAAATGAGAGATTGTAAGTAACAAAGCTTTACTACCCATTTATGTACAAGTAATGGACAAGTTGGCACAGTCTGCATGTAGTAAAGTTAAAAAGTTAAAGTTACAGCCTACACAAGTCCCACCGCCTGGCACAGGCCTCGTCCGCTTACATCTGAAAGAGTTTTAGGATAAACAGCTGTCCGCCGCGCTGCCCCAATGAATGTTGGAGAACTTCATGTGTCCTCGAAATATTTTTTTTTTATATTTCTCAGACATGCAGGTTTGCTCATGACGTTTTACTTCACCGCCCAGCACGTGGTAAATCAACACTTAAAATTTCAATTAACAATTTGATTAGTGCCAGCAGGGATCGAACCCAGTTTGTTCGCGTACTGTGAAAATTACAGAGAGCGCGCACCGTCTGAGGTAGCTACCACGGCTCTTTTTTTTTGCAGGCATAATATTTTGCTACTGCTTGACTCTACCACGTTTATGTGTCAATACAAATACTCAATTATAATACGACAGTTGTATGTTGCATTCCTTATATTTGGTCAATTTATGCGGTAAACTATAAAGAATGTCCGTAATTTCCACGCGACAGCACCATGCTGAGTCCAAGCACAAAAGGATCACGCTTTCACAGAAAACCAGCGTAAAATAACTTAGCTTAATGCTGCTGTGTTTTGTATTATGAGAGTAGAGAATCGGATACCCCATGCCTCCGCAAGCGGATGAAACTGTTGTTTCTGTTCCTGATCACTCTCAGGTCATATCGGATTACCGTCCCATCGGACTATGAGTTTAAGCGGATTAGAGAGTGCACCTGTGCTTGCGCATACACTCGAGCACTAAATTCAGTCCTGCACAAATGGCTAGTTTCCATTGTAAGTGGCCACCGAGACAGAAATTTAGTTTGGAAAACACTATTTTTGGTGTTATATTTTTTTTAATACGGACTAACAGAGCCGTTTACTAACAATTTGATTGGTTTAATAAATTGAAATAATTTAATTTAATTTAATTATCAATTGTTAATTGTCTTAAAGTGTACATGTAACACTATAAACTTACGCTGTGATTGATACAGAAGACATAAACTTATTTAAATCTTTGATAGTTATTATCTGACTTTAGCATAGCCAACAGAATGGAGCGGCTCAGTAAGCGATTAAGTACATTTAAAGAAAATATATTTGACAAATAAAATTTTATTTTTTAAAGTCGTAGAAATAAAATTTACTTAATTTCATTTCATATATCATCCATATCATCATCATCATTATTACAGCCTTTCACAAGTCTACTGCTGAACATAGGCCTCCCCAAGAAATGCCTGCCATAAAACAAGGTCTTAGGCCACCTGCATCCGTCTACTTCCTGCATCTCTTACCAGGCTGTCATTTCATTTCTAAACCTTGCATTGAAATCAATCTTTAGGCCTATATTAAGAAGATTTACATAATTTTCAAACAAACAAGCAAAAGTGATGCTGAAAACGGTTGTAAAGCAAATGCATTTAACATTCAGCCTATTTTCTATTTAGGGGTGTGTCTAGTGGAGAATGAAAGCTCTCGTCGCACTGACATCGTCAGCAGGCCGAACGGCGACGGCTCCCGGGACTACGGACTGTTCCAGATCAACGACAGATATTGGTGCAGCAACACTGGCCAGCCTGGCAAGGACTGCAACGTCACCTGTAAACGTAAGTTTATTTTATCCGGACGTCTACGTAATGCAGTGGCTGAGTAACTAATTGTGGCGCTAAAGGCTGTGGGTTCGAATCCCGTATGAAACGAATATTTGTACCTATAACCAACTAGTCATTGTTCCAGATCTGCATTTATTTTTGTAAATTGTTTCTACAATACATGAGAAAAAAATACGTGTGACACTCGGTGACTGCCGCGGTAAAGCTATTGCATAGCATTTTTTATCAACTTATGCAATTATAATTATTTATTTATTTTATTTATGCAGTTAAGTCTTTGATATTAAATCAAGTTACACTTTTTGAGCGTGGTGACAGATAAGAAAACAATTTTTTTTCTCTTATTGAATAAATGAGAAGTTAATATTGTTTAAAATATTTTTAATGTCTTACAATACATGTAGGTTATTCAGGAATTTATATCATTGAGTTAGCAGCTAGTGTACACGCATACGTCTAGTCGCACGAACACAAACACCGTGCCGAAGTCTGCCGAGTGCCGAAGTCTGCTGAACTGAAACGACGTTAGACGATGCACGGCTTTCAACGCCACACCTCCGTGCCCGTCGGAGTG